GGAGAGCCACCTGCTCATTCCCCGCACTGACCGCCCTGCCGGCGGTGCTTGCCGTTAACCCCGCCCCGCGTGTCATCTGCATTCGTGTCCAGTCCTGTTCTACCCCCCAAGGGGTGACGTGTTTAATTTCTACCTCCATTCCACGAGTCTTGGTGAATCAACCGAGGGAATACTTCAAAACTGGGGATCTTGAGAGATCTTTAAAACTCACAGCAAGGAAAACATAAGCTCTGTCCCTTCTGCCTCTGTCGCTTGGACTCTCCCTGTCTCAGCCTCAGTGTCCTTGTCTTGTGAGGACAGCACCTTCTGTCACGTCCCGGGCCTAATACACAGTCGTCGCGTCCTCCTGTGGGCTCACCGCCCCCCTCCCTCGGAAACCAAGAGGTGACGTCTGGACAATGGATGTGGCGGGATTTATACCCCAAGCAAGAGGCCCTCTCTCAACCCTAAAAACACAAACTCAGAAATCTTCCCTGGCCTGCCCCTGATGAAGGACAGTTTCTGAGAGACACAGGTTAAAAAAAAAAGTCAGGGGACCCCAGAGCTGAAGGGTGTGGCCTTTACTTATGTAAATCAATCCTCACAGCCGTCCTGTACCTCCCAGTCAAACTCAAAGTCAGAAAGCAGCCAAACCTCTAACCCCTGCTTAACGCGACGTAGGCCACACCCACCCCACCCCCAGCAGCCCTCTCCCTAAGTCCCAGATCATAAAGACTCGGGGGGGGGGGGGGCAGAATCTTAGCTTACTCATGTCCAGGGACGAGCGCATGCTAACGTTAACTAGGAGTGTCAGCCATTGCTGCTGTCTGCAGTGACAGACCCGCAGGAACTATTTAAATACCATGAGCAGAGGTGAAAAGCCGTCCGATCTGTAGTCGGCACCACCACCTGCACTCATGGGCTCCCTAATACCAAGCCAGGGACTGGGGCAGCCCCAGGGCACACCGTGAACCTCCTTGCCAAGCCCTGACAACCACACACTCCCCCCCCCACCCCCACGCAGGTCGCTGACAAGGGCCTCCAAGAACCTTTTAGGAAGCGATGAGGGCTTCCAGAGAAGGGCCGCGCATCTGAATAGTAAGTGCACCCGGCCTGACTTCTGGTACAGTAGCCTTGATCATTACCTAGATGCCAATGGTGACCTGCCCCAGTTGGGGGTGTGTCCTCAGGACACAATCTGGGAGGTTATCATTTGAAACCACCCTTATTCAGGAACCTCCAACCTCTGCACAGATCTGAGCCCACAGCTCCTTCAAGAACAGAATACTATTTTAGTTGGAATATCGTGATTGAAGCGACACTGTTAGTCTATATGATGCAATATGATTCTTTTTTTCTTTTCAATCCCACTGTAGTGAGAAGGCCACCAAAGTGCAGGACATCAAAAACAACCTGAAGGAGGCCATTGAAGTACGTGCTTGGTCTTTTGAGTCATTCTTTGAGCCTCCCTTTCCCACAGTGCTGCCCCCTGACTGCTTTACTCCGTCGTTTTCAGACCATCGTGGCCGCCATGAGCAACCTGGTGCCCCCTGTGGAGCTGGCCAACCCGGAGAACCAGTTCAGAGTGGACTACATTCTGAGCGTGATGAACGTGCCTGACTTTGACTTCCCTCCCGTAAGCTAACCCCAAGCCCCCTGCCCTACACAAATAACCCTCAAGGACACCCCCTAGACCTGAGTCGAAGCCACACTTTGCAGCAAAACACATATCCATGATACTGACCATCAGGGAAAAGTTAACCCCATAAGAGTCCTTATCATTTAAACAAGTAATCATCATCTTTATCATCATCATTAGGGCTTTGGTCAAGATGGATGAGCCAGATTCTATCACCCCTTGGTAAATCTTGGCTCACCCATCCCCACAAGTAAACATCAAAGCTCAGTACCACAATTTTTACTTTATTAGACTATGTTTCTAAAAGGGAAAAAGTCTCAAGTTATGGCAGCCTTAATTATTCTCTCCTACATATCTCACGACAAACAGAGCTGCTAATACGCATGGCACACAAAGGCTAATTGTCCAGCGAGCTGAGTCTCCTCAGATACCAAGAAAATCAGAAATGAAGTGCCAGCTCTGAGTCTAACAAGTGGAAGGCATTCTCACGTTAAACGACTTGCCGTTTAATCTTTACCAAAGTTTTTCTAAAATCAGCCCTTGCCTTGGGCCAAAAGAAGTCAGAGAAAAGACTCCACCTAATTGATAACTCAGGTGGTGTCTTCCGCAGGCCCTGGAGGGTGTGCAGGGCACTGTTTACAAAGATCTGTCTGCTCCATAAAGAACTATTTTTAGGGAACACAAAGCCGCCCAGGGCCCAGGCATATATGTTTCGACCCCTTTGTGGAGGAAGAATAGTTCGTGAGAGAGGAACGGGAAACAAGATGGGAAAAGGAGAGAGTTTATAAGGCCCAGAAGGAAAAGACTTGTCTACAGCGAAAACAATGCGTTATTGTTGCCCTTTGTCAGGCCTTCGTGGGAATTTGTGTTTGTATATTTTAAATGGGTTTGGCTGCAAACTTCTGCTAGCAAGGAAGTAGCATTAATCAGTACAGCTAGGTAGATTTTTTTTTTAAACAGAAAAAATTTCGATATTTCTGCTAGGAGGAGAAAAAAAAGGGCAGCCTATTAAAAACCCCCAAGGACAGCGAGCCCTCCTTACTCCTCCTGTTAGCTGACTTGACGTTCTGCCTACTCTCCATCCTTCCCTCGCTGAATTCACGTTACAGGGAAAAACCTCTTTCCTGGTAAGGGGAGATTGCCCTGCATAATTAGGAATGTTCTCACATTCAGATGAAATGTGAATCGTGACCTCCTGCAATTTAAAACACACACAGGGCCCATTTGCTCTTTTGATTCTTCCTGTGACAACCATTCCCAAAATGACAGGCACGAACGAGGCCAAGTTTGCCACCAATTCCCAACCATCATGTATTTTGGTAAAATCCACATTTTCCTGGAAGGAAATTTCCCACATCTTCACAAATGGAAATAATCCTGTTTTCATGACATCAAATCGTTTATCGACCCGTCCTCCTAATTAGCCTGTGGTCTTCCTCTATAAGCAATGGTGCGAAGAAACAAAGTTATTCAATAGTTTACTCTGACCCTGCCCACACCCCCAAAAAGACAGGAGGACAAGTACCCAAGACCACTAATGCGCAGCTGGGTTGGGTATTTTGAATACATTAAGCACCTTGAACGCAAGTCCTTTACGATCATTGATTCCTTAATTTGGCCCCAAATTGGGAATCACCTAGTGTCAGTCCCATAGTGAACTGCGGTCCCACTGGACTTGGTGGAGCTCTGTCTTTAAACCTCTCTCGGGTTCACTTTCAGGAATTCTACGAGCATGCCAAGGCGCTGTGGGAGGATGAGGGCGTGCGCGCCTGCTACGAGCGCTCCAACGAGTACCAGCTGATTGACTGCGCCCAGTAGTAAGTCACTTCACCTCCGCATCCGTGCACAGAATATGTGCACGGAGGAGATAATTCAAAACCTCCACTTCGCTTTTCCAGTTACTTGCAAATGAGTTCCTTTCATAGAAGCCAGCCAGTTATTCCCACCTGCAGTTAGAAAGTTCTAGTCTGATTAATTTGTTTTATAAAGCCCTTAATTGCACTTTTTAGTGCAGTGACATTATTTTATATAAACAATGAGTGCCTTTTAGAGCAAAATGATAATTACTTGCAATAAAGTGATGCTCAAAATTAATTAACTTGAAGTAATTAATTGAATTGACCTCTGAGCATTTAGGAAGATAGGGCAGCTCTCACACTTTGGATGATGTAGAAATATTATTATATTTTATTGCTGTAATTCAAAAACATAACAAAGAGGAGAAGTGAGGACAAAAAGATGCCTCCCCACCCCTGGTGGCTGATACTTGCTTCGCTGTTTCTGCTGCCAGGTGAGTGACCACAGTAGCTGCTGGAATCCGGCATTTCTAGTTCACCTGGAGTTGGGTGTTGTGTCGAACTCCATTTCCTCTCCGCATTTATCATTGACACTGGGCCTTAACTCAAGGGTGCCTCCTCCCCTGGGGTCCTTGCTCTGTCCCTTCACAGACTCTCTTCCAGTGGACGTGATAACACACAGCTGGGAAGCTGCCTTTTAAACAGTTTATGACCTTCCTTATCCTGTACATAATACAGCAAATACATGATGTGCAGAGCCATAAAAAATTTTAAAGATACCGTTTGTTTGTTGATGCTGCACAAGTGTACTAAGTGGTCTCAGTTACGATATTCTGAAGTTGCGCTGTCTTTCATGAGCCCAGGGGTGGGGGTAGGGGGAAAGCAATAGATACTTGTGAGGTCCCAGCCTCACTGATGTAAGTAACTGAAATGCAGGAAACAGTTTTGCTATTGAAAATATTAAGTAACCAGGAACAAGGTACCAGGCTGGCCCGCAGAAAGTTGAAATGGCATTACTGAGAACCCCGTGCCTGGGGAACTGATTGTGAAAACCGCTTGAATAAACAGTGGGGAGGAAGAGGTAGCAGCTCTCAAACAGCAAACAGAAAGCAAGCTCCCCACACTCACGTTATCTGCACATCACAATGCTCCTGTGAGGGTCTGTGAAACCTATCAATTTATCTTTCCCGGGCCCCGCTTTCCCATAGGAAGTGCATTTGATTATTTTCAACTGTCACATACATAGTTATTTCATGGTTTCACATACAAGCAAATTTGTGTATGTTTTCAACGAACAGAAAAACAGTCCATCTTGGCCAGTCCCTGTGACCCCAGCCCCCACCCCTTCTTCAACAAAGTCCCTGATTTTCTCAAAAGTTTGAGCTTAAAGCTGGAAGTGCTAATTATAGTAACGCAGAACAAATGGAAATCCTGGAATTGTTTGCCTTTTGTATTTTGGATCCAAGTCAGAAGCACAGGTACCAGATGAGGAGGGTTTAACTGTGGTAGCTTTGAGTGCTCTGGAAAGGGGCAGGGTGGAACAACGTTGTTAATTAACAGTTTTGCCAGCTTTTTTGTTTGTTTAATCTCACACCATTTAAAAGTTTCTTTTTTAAAACAACATTGAATTACTCCTACAACTTTATCTGAAAGTGGCAGCATTTGCACAGTTTATGGAAAGTTTTAAGGAAACTCCAAGAAAAAGAGAACAGAGTTTGAATCTTTTAAAATGTCTTCCCCAGCCAGATGATTAAAACGGCCCTGCCCCTGCAGTGACCAGCCCCTCTCGGGTTTAACTGTCTTTATGGTACAGTTGAGGTGCTGGTACCTTGCCCATTTCTTAAGGTGCCTATTTTCATTTGTGGAGCTGGGCTTTGGCTGGCCCCACGCCAGATGTCTCTCTCACAAGATTTGGTGCTGATGATCTATTTATAGAACTGTGGTTCTGTTGCCATGGCAACGTGCTGGAGGCCAGGGCGGCTGGGGAGCTATTTCTGGACTGGTGCTGTAATGTAAGACTGATTGGGCAAGTTAGTATATCCTCTAAGCCAGACTAACTAAACTGGTAAAAAGGAAGGAGAAAAGAAAAAAAAAACTTATAGAATTTCTTTAAATAGACTTTTCTCTCTTTGTGATTTTTTTGTTCTGGTAGCCCACTTTAAAACAATTCTAAGCCCCCTTCCCCCCACCAGAAAAGCTGGTTTTAACACTAACTTTCCATATTAATTAAATTAGTCCAATCTTTTCCTAAGTTATTTCCAAAGTTATTTTTCCTAAGGTGGGTCTCGTCCAGCAACACAAGTTACTTTTGCTTGGGGAACAGGGCTGTGGAGAGGGGAGGGGACAACACTGCTTTTCCCTGTAAAGCTCTCTGCGCACCGAGGCCAGCCCCGCAGGCCCCGAGCGCCTGGACTGTGTGCGCTCCCTGCAAGAGTAAGGGCTTGTACCCTGGACGGCCGTGAGGGTTTTTAAAAACTCAGTTTCGTATCTGGACTGTTGTATTTCATGGACCAAGCAGAACGGAAGGGAATTTTGTGTCTGTTTCCTGTTCAGTGTGGTGAGGGCCAAAAGGGCCCCTTCTTAAAAGTAGAAGGAAGGGATACCCTTTCTGAGCAACTCAGACAATCCAGGGAGCAAACTGGCATGAGTGTGTGGTCACCCTGTGTCCTTCTTTTCCTCCCAGCTTCCTGGACAAGATTGACGTCATCAAGCAGGCTGACTATGTGCCCAGCGACCAGGTATGCACACACAGAGGACCCGAGCCCTCTTTCCAAGCTAGTCAAGATTTCCACTCCAGATTGGTGATTATGAACAACAGTTTGGTTGGTTTTGGTGAGATCTGTTGACCGAGGGCTTTGTTTTAGGATCTGCTCCGCTGCCGTGTCCTGACTTCTGGAATCTTTGAGACCAAGTTCCAGGTGGACAAAGTCAACTTCCAGTAAGTAAATGGGTTCCTTTTTTCAAAACA